TGGGTCATCTCCTCCTGGTTTCCCTCTATGGCCTCTTCCCACACACAGCTGCTCCTACTCACAGTTCCCCACTCAAAACACCCAAGCAGTTTCACGCCTCTGTGCTTTCGCAAAGGTCGGTCCCTCCTTCCGGGAACATTCCCTCCCTTTGGCCCCCCCCCCATTCTGATGAAATGACTGAAAACACACCTAGCTCTCTAAAAGCTCGGTGGCTCCTCCCACCTCCAGGCCTGAGCAATTCACCAGTACTGCGCAGTTAGGCCTGCCCATCCAGCCCACATGAGACCCACCTGAGTGTCCATCATTCTTGACTTCCCACTTCTTCTTTTGGTCATAGCCAGAGAAGGTGAAGGGCTTCAGGTTGGAGTTCACCTTTGCCTCCTTGGTGACGATGTTGATGGGGGACTGGTGGGTCTTCTGACAGTCCCCAGGCCATTCGGAAGGTCCTGAGAGGGCAGAAAGGGCTGAGAGTCAAGGGTACATTGACCCAGCGACGTGAAGAGTCTTTGGACGCTGGTGAGGTCTGGAGCAGGTTATGAGTCTCAGAATTCTGCCCTGGTGTTCTTCCTCCTCCAACATGCTGGCACAGGCTGGTGCGTGGGTCTCTGATGTGGATGAGGATTGGGAATTTGGAAAGAGGGGTGGGGGAGAAGCCGGCTTGCCACTGATGGATGGCTAAGAGCTCTGGGATTCAAGTAACCTCAGGATGTTGAACTCTGGCTTTCTCAGTGGAAACCTGAACCCCTAAGGTGTTTCTAGAGAATGTTGAGAAGATTAAAAGTTGCTGAGTGGGAGACACCTTTTCAGCTTTGGAAACCCTGGAGAACGACCCCCCGGAAGAGCTGTGACGGATGGAACCTGGATCTGACAAGGCATTCTCTAGGGAATGGGAGGGAGGGAGAGCCAGGCAGGCAATGCCAGAATTTAGCTAGGTAGGGGCGAGACAGTGGCAGTCCCTCCCTCAACACAGCAGGCGACAGGGAAATTGGTCAGCATTAGGAAAAGTGCCAGGGAGGCAATGAGGGTGTGGCCCGGCAGTAAAATGCTTCTTCTCTAGCACGTGCAGGACCCTGGATGACTCAGCACTCCAACAATAAACTCCTAAGAATCATCTCCCACTTCCACCTCAAAGGGCTTGACTGGACTCAGCCTTCATTGTGCGGAGGGGGGGGCGGGAAATAGCCAATGTGCTGCTAATTTAGTTTCCCGGGTCAGCCTCAGTGACATTCGCTGGACGCACTCACTGTGCAGGTGCGCATGTGTTGGTTGGAAGGGGCTGCCAGCGGGTAGTACTCACCCTTGCAATTGCTATTGGGCTCCTGGGCCTGGATCTCATAGCACCAGTGTTCATCTGGAACAGAGAAAGGAAGAATGTGAACCCTGGGCGTGCGTGTGAATTGTTCACACAGCCCCGAGGACCAGAGCCTGGGAAAAAACCCTGGTGTGAAAACTTGGGTGGGGATAGGAGGCTTCTGGAGTGTGGGACTGAAGTCCCCCAGGGAGGTAGACTTAACGATCAAAGGAAAGGCTGCGATTGGAATGGCCTGTGCCCACACTGTAAACCCAGCACTGGGGTGGGGGGGTGGGGTAGCAGAGGCAAGCGGATCTCTGTGTTCCAGGCCAGCCTGATTTACAGAGCAAGTTCCAGGACAGCCAGGGCTACACAGAGAAACCCTGTCTGGAAATAACAAATAGAGTACAGCAAAGCCATGGTAGGGATGCCAGCAACACCAAGTGCTCATCCTGCTTAGAGCTCTGATCTTCAGGGGGTTTTCTGAGGCTGCTCAGCTCTGTCCCTGGGTCATCAACCTCTTTCCCCTCCTGCATCCTGCCCGGAACCTAAAAGGAGGCTCAGTTGAGAGGGAAGGATGAGAACAACCCTCCTTTCTGGAACAATGGAGTGGGTTCCAGCCTCCCAGGCAGGCTGCCTTGGGAATGGGGGAGGAGGGTGCTGATGCAGGCCACAGGGGGATGGGCAACCCTTCCTTAAGGCCCCATATGCTTTGTCAAGGTTCACTCTGAATTGTTATGAGCGTGAAGACAGCAACACCAGAGTTACTGAGGAAAGCAGCACAAACGAGCCATAGCGGTGCAATCGACTGTCCAAGGGGTCCATGCAGGGGCACGGCACAGCCAGGCATTCTGCATTTCTGCAAAGTTAAATCTGCTCTAAAAATAAGGTCTACAGGAGAAAGAGACAGACAGAGAGAGAGAGACAGAGACAGAGAGAAGCCCTCAGGGTGAATGAAGCATTTCATCCAAAGTTAGAATTCTGACTTAGGAGCCCTGTGTTTAAGGATGGCTCCTTACTTACTCTCTTTGGTTTTATCATCTGTGAAATGGAGCCAACATGTCCACCCATGAGTCGAGAGAGGGTTAAATGAGAGATGGTATGGATTTCTCCAGGCAGCCTATACTCAGAAAAGTTCACAGACAACTCTGCCCCTCCTCCCTAGCCTCCTGTCAGTGAGCAGATGGTCAAAACCAAGCCAAGGCAGGAGAGGAAAAGACATGGGGTGAGCTGGAAAGAGTTCAGGGGTGAGGACATTCCTAAGAAAAGTGCTGCCCGGGCTCAGCTGAGTCTTCACTGCATCATCAGCCGCTCCCTCTAGGAGCTTTCTGGGGTTTTGTCTTATTTTATTCTTCTTCCAGGGCTAGGAATCAAACCCAGGGCCTCACCCATGCCAGGCAAGTGCTCCACCACTGAGCTACAGACCCAGTCCTTGGTTTTTTTTCTTCTTTGTCAGACACCATCTCCCTATATAGCTAGGCTTGGATAAATAGGTGTGTGTCCCAGACTCTCTTCTTGCCTGAGCTTTGCCCCTCCAAGCCCTATCTCTTCCTGATTCTGGGCAGGGGACTGTCCCTGAAATGGAGACAGGGTGAGAGAGGGAAGTATACAAATCAGGCTCTTTTGTAAGCAGGAGGACCAAGGTTCTAGGCTACAAGAAGGAGCCCTCCAGGAGACCAGCCTCCAATGGCCACTTTGGGTTTTCTAGTTTCCTAGCCCTAGATCAGAGTTCATTCCTGCTCCGCAGCTAACATGGCTATATTTCGAGGTCTTCCCCGTGATGATCTACTCTCTGCAAGCTGATGCGCTGGGGTGGTATGCGGTGGTCTTCCCTCTCTTGGTGGGCCTAGTGCCTCTGACGCCAGAGTCTGTTCCCCTTCCTTCCAGGCCTGCTCTGTTTCTACCCTAAACTCTCAGACCAGATGAAGGGCTGGCCAGTCACATTGAGGAGAGGAGCCGGTCCAGACTTCCTGAGTCTGCCCTCAGAGGACCCGGAAGTGGAACAGGCTTCAATGAAGAGTCCTAGGAGATGGGGCCCAAGGGGAAACTATTCCAGGAGAAGGCCAGTTCTGGAGGGCAGAGCCCTCAGGCCCTGCTCCGGGGGGAATCCATCTGGGCACTTCTCAGGAATCTTCCCTTCTCTGACGCTGGCCCCAGCTCCCTGGTTAGCGTGACCTCTGCTCCACTGTCTTAATCACAGAGACTTTTGACCTGCTTGACTGAACACTCTTGTAACTACCCTCTCTTCAGGAGGTGGCAGCCAGAAAACACGATGCTGATTGAAGCAGAGGCCAGGGGTCAGGTAGGCATCTTACAGTCAGTCAGGTGGCAGGGCACCAGTCAGCCCAGGCTCCCACACTTGCTTCTGAGGTGCAACCATTACAAAGAATAAGCTGTTCACTGCCTCTGGCCATGCCCAAGATAAAGGAACTGGGAAGGATAGAGGTTCCCAGCTCTGGGTCCTTACCTAAGCCCTGACCGGAGATGGGGTTAGAGACAAAACATTGCCCCTCATGGAGACACTATTCTCCATCCCAGTCACAGGCTTCCCCCTCCCCTCCGCTTTTTGAGGCAGGAAGGATTTATTTTGGCTCCTGGTTCAGAGGTCTTTTAGAGAAGTCTGAAGTCATTTTTAATGGACCTTGCTCACCCCACCCTCACACTGAGAGAAGGTGGAAGACTCCAGCAACCAGCTCAGCAGAACGCGAATGTCCTGGGCAAAGTCTCAGCACCGGCTCAGCTCGGGGTCTGGGACCCTGAAGGGGTGGACTATCACCTCCTCCCTCGAAGCAGTGCACCCTGGGCTCTTTCCAATCCCTGCGGTATGACGCCTGAAGGAAAGTGGTCCTGGCGCTCTAACTGGGAACAGTTCGCGTGAAGAGGTCAGCCGAGAGGATTCCTGCCTACATAGCCCCAGGTCATCGGCTGAGTCTCCTGACCGTCCTGTGGAGTACTTCTGCCCAGAGCCTACAGGCACTGCGTAAATTCTCTTACCGATCATCCTTAAAACAGCACCCAGGAGCAGAGTTACTATACCTGCTTTGTAAACGACAAAACCCAAGGTGAACAGCTAGAAGGCACCCATTAATTTAAAAATATTTTTCTTTCTACTAAGTCGTTTCAAATATCCACCCCAACCTTGTCTTCTCTCTCTCTCTCTCCCTACCCTTCCCCTCATTGTATTAGTTGTTCTTTTCTCTCCCTCTAGGAAGGAGCTTTGGAGTTGTAGGATGCCCTCCATCCTCCAAGCTAAGTCCCTCCTGCAGCAGGGAGCATTTTTTTTTCCACCTCTGCGGCCAAGAGTTTCCTCAATCCCTGCTCCCCCTGCTCCATTATAAGGGCAGAGCACCTAACTCTGGAAGGGAGGTTTGGCCCATTGGAGGGGAAAACTTGCCCTCGGAGTAAGAGATAAAGTCTTTGTGAAGAGCTGTGGGGTAGCGGAGGTCTAGCGGCTAGAATCGCCTTTAGCTCCTTATCAAATATTAACACGCCTCTACCGCTACCTCCCACCTAGAAGAATAATTAAGAGCTCGTGCTCACCATTAATCTTTAAACGAAAATCGCCTTGTCCGGAAAGACCGGCTTGGCCGGGGACTTGGGTCTTGGGATGCCCCCCGCCAGGCTCCCAATCCAGCGCTGGAGGCTGGGGAGAAGGGAGCTTGCAGCTCAGAGGAACCCAAGGTGGGAAGAGGGGAACGCCGGGATCCCAAAACATCCAACCTCCTGCGCTTGTTCTGGGCGGGCAACAGCTACCGGCTCAGAGTCTCTGCAGGTCAGACGGCCACTCGCCACCCAGGGGGAGACCCAGGAGAACCAAGGTGAGGAAAGGATCGTGCATCCGGGCGGGTCGGAGAAACATCCTCACCACAGATCACAACGCGCGTCTGCCACGCGAACACCCCTCGGCCGCGCACATGCGGCCGCGCACATGCGGGCACACGCTCCCCCGCAGCCGCCCGAGGACACGTGTAGGCGCCCACGCTCACGCATAGCCAGGTCCACTGCATCCTCACGGTTCCCTGCACGAACCATGCGCAGCGGGAGCACGCTGACAAGGGGAGCGGGGCTGGGGGCGCAGAGGGTCACCCAAGGGTACCTGCGGTAGAACTGGCTGCGTAAGCCAGCGCCAACAGAGCAAGAAGCAGCTGCATGGTGCTTGAGGGCAAAGACGCTGCCCAGCACAGAGTCAGGCACCGAGGAAGCCACTGGAGGCGTCGCGATCATGCCGGTTGAGGCTTTATAGCAGAGACACGACGGGAGGGTGACCCGACAGCAGGTCGTGGGAGGCGGCTCCTCCTCCTGGCGGAGCCTCCCCTTTCTTGCCTCGTCCAGTCTCAGGTCTGAAAGAATCCTCTCCCCGCCTACCCTCCTACCTTAATCCGCGGTGAAAAGACCCCTCACCTACCAGGCGTCCGCAGGGTTTGGAAGTGTACTCTTTTCTCCCTGCCTCCATCCTACCCCTGGTCACTGATCCGGGAACAGATGGGCTATCCTGAGGTACCTGACCCGCAGGGGTGTTTTCCCAGATTCGTAGCTTCCATCGTGTTGCCACTAACCACTGTGCTGGGTCTCCTAATGTGTCTTTGGAATGAACTTGATTTGAGGCTGGGGGCGGGGGATGTAAACGGTCTCGGGGGAGACCGAGAATCAGGAGGGTTGAAAACTTTGCAATGCTGGTTGTTGAAGAGATGCCCTGTGAGAGGCTCTTTCAGGCAGTGGTAGATGTTTCTCGAGTCTCATCATTTTCCTCTCAGGCTGTACCAAACTTGATTTTGTTTTGAGTTTTCTTTCTCGGTTCTGGAGATCCTCCTTTCCTTCTTTTTCTTTCCCTATTTCTCATTTTTACCACTGGGCTACGTCCAAACTAAATTCTAAGAAAACCGTGACTCTTCTTCCAGTCTTAAGCCAAGTTCCCTAAACTGCTGTTACTAGAATTTTGTGTGTGTGTTTGCGCATGCGCGCTGAGCCAAGATGGGGAGGAGTGGAGAGTTGGGAGCTGAAAAGGTATGGACTTAAGGGGATGATGGGAAGGTGAAGAATGGGGGAACGGGGCGGTGGGGAAGACACAATTGAAAGTTGGTTTGTAAAGTGGTTTACTAGGAAACCCCAAGGTGTCATAGGGGATAGGACTAGTTGCTATAGAGATGCCCTGACCTTGGGAAGAGAGAAAAAACAAGGGTCGAAGTGTACCCTCAAGTTCTCCCATCAGTCAGGAAGAGTCAAGAAAGATTCCTTGAGGAAACCGTGTCCTATATCCGGAGAAATGGATCCGGCTTCGCTTCCAGACAGGTGCAGAGACGTCGGTCTCTGCGATGATCCCCTGAATCTCCTGGAGAATCGGTGCATCCATGGGAGGTTAGGAATCTGGGACGGAGTTGGGGAGATGGACGAGAAATCAGGCAGTACACCTGGACTCCTCCATCAACAGGAAGCCCCGTTTTCTGGTCCAGCTACCTCCCCATCCGTTGCCAAATTCTCATCACCCTCTCCCTGCCTCGACACCGGCTTTTGGACCCCTGAAGAGGAATGGCTTCATCGGGACAATCTAAGCAAAGGGTTTCCGCTCTTGTTAGAGACTGGCCTACTCCTCTCTCTGGCCTAGGATCACACAACCTGCACGAGCAGCTTTGATCCTACCGAGCGAGAGGCAGGGTGGGGGAGGGGCGTCCCCATCAGGCTCAGGGTCTTATTGTCTGCTGGGCTCTGGAATTTAACCTCTAACCTGGGAGCCTTATTTGGAGAGTGGATTTGTGTTTGTGGGGCTAAAAGTGTCTCTTCTAGGAATGAAAGAGGAGGAACTGAGGATTCGGGATGTCCCTGGAAGCTAGGCCAGCCCGCTGACAAGCAGAGGAGAGAATTGATAGCCTGACCAGGCTATAATTATTGATCATTGATTTCTGTATTCATTTTAAAAGAGGTGGGGGTCCCTGGAAAGAAGCTTGTGGGAGGCCAGGATGTGTTCAGGCCAGGCTGCGGGGGCAGCCCCTCTGAAGGGGATATTCCTGGGGACACGGGCTTGTTATGATGCCTCAGAGAGTGAATAAGGTGCTTGAGGTGATCACCTGGTTTCTATCTGACATTCGTGACTCTGTGGCTTCCTAGGTGCCCTGGCTATCACATCCTACCCCAACGCTCCCCTCCCTTAGCCCCCACCCCATATCATTCCAGCCCGAACTCCAGCTTAGCCATAAACCTGTCACATTGTCCAAACACCTGGAGCCCATCTTCCCCCAGAAGGAACCGAGCCTGATTAGGGATGATTAGAGGAGAGATAGATGGCACTCACATGTCCCAGGAACTTATAGGACCATAAAGCTGCCAGCCCAAGCAAGCCCTGCCCAGTACCCAAGCCCTGAAGCAGTTTCTTCCTCTTACTCAGCCCAAGGTACCCCAAGCTGAAAACTCAGGTTCCGAGTTCAAGTCTTTGTTCTTCCTCTGACGCAGGCACGGCCTTGGGCAATTTTCCTCTCCCTCCCATGTGACTTCCTCCTCTGTGAAGGGAGGGAGGTGGGGGGGGGGAGATGACTGAGTGACAGTCTTGCCCCCATGACCTCCACCAATAAATGGTTACTGGGAACCAACTCAGTCGAGGCTTTCACAAAGTTTGCTAGCGCCTGGGTGTGACTGCCGGCCCATGAGTATTCAAAGATGAAACACAAGCCTTGACCAGGGGTTTTCACTTGTGTGGCCTTAACTGCGACACGGAAGGCAGTGGGAAGTCACGGACTCCATCTGAGGTCAAAGTGAAGCAGAAAAAAAAAAAAAAAAAACACAGGACAAAATATAGGGACATGGGAAGGGAAAGGAAGCCCTTAGCCCAGGGTCTGGTTGAAGCCTCTCCCCAGCTTCAAGAATTCCAACACAACTGACCTTTACCCCTCCCCCTTGTGTAAACCCACAGTTTAGGAATCTCACCAGAAACCCCACTTGTAGAGTAAATGGGTTCTTCCTGCCACCAAGTGGTTCCTGTTTTTACCTTATCAGATGTCACCTCTAGAGATACCCCATAACCTCCCTTATCAAAGAGAGATAGGAAGGTCAGAGAAATGGCCCAGGGGGTAAAAGCACATGCTGGCAAGCTGGGCAGCCTGAGTTCCATTCATTCCAGGATGGGCAAAGTGGAAGGAGAGAACCAGCTCCACACACACACTAAATAAATGCATTAAAAAAAGAAAAAGAAAAAACAGGAGAGAGAAAATAAAGTTTTCTTAGTAACCCCTTGAGAATCACCAAATGCAGGTAATGCTAGCACAGGTCATTGTGACTCCCCCAAGAGAAACCCACATCCACTTGGGTGCGTCATGTTCTTATCCTGAGTGTTTCTCTTGAATACCCCCACTCTCCACCCCCGCCAGGGTTTAACGTGACTCCTTTGAGAAGCCCACAGCCATGCTTGGGTTGTATTTTTGTTCTCTTGGGTGCATGACTTTGTATTTTTAGTAAATGCCCGGCTCTGCTTCATATAGGCTATTTATGAAATTCTTTTTTGTGTCAAAGACACAAATCCTAGGTTTGCTTGGATCCAGTTTTTTAAGAGATTAAGGGAATGTTTCCAGTTGCCTTGGGTGACAATACAGAGCTCAGTCTGGGTCCCTGTCACCACTGACATCTTTAGGGGATTTGTCCGGGTTCTGTCTCAATTATTGTTCATGAGTTCCCCTGACCATTGCTTAGCTGAACCGCTTTAATTGCGGTTTATATGTTTCCTTAATTTTTTTGCTTCTGTTTTCCTGGTGATAAATCCATATAGTGTTTATTTTATTTTATACTGTTTTGAAGGGTTATCTCTATTTGGGTCATGTATGTGCGTGAGTGTGGGGGTGCGCACATAGATACATATATGACACAGTACGCATGTGGAGGTCAGTGGCAGTTTTCAGGGGTTCTCTTTTTCCACCACCTCATCAAACTCAGATTGGCAGGCTTAGCAGCAAGCACCTTTACCCACTGAGCCATCTCACTGGCCCCCATGTAGTGTTTAATGAGTGCCACTAGCACCGTAGACAGAACTCTCCTAGAGGTATTCACCCTCCAGCGCTGGGTCAGATGAAACAGTTCCCGTTCCTCTGAGAAGTCACCATGGGGATGGATCCACTGATGTCCTTGGCTGCTCTCTTCCCTCCAGGAGAGCAGCCAAGATGCCTTGAGAAAGATACTTCTCTTCTACTCACTGGATCCAAACGCACTAGAATGGCCCCTCCAGGGAGCTGAGAGATGACTTAGCATTTAAGAGCACCCAGGTTTGATTCTCAGCACCCACAAGCCTTACAAGCCTGGTATCTCTAGTCCCAGGGTCCTCGACTTCCTCGTCTGGCCTCAGCCAGTACAATGCAAGCTTATGGTGCTCAGACAGACATGCAGACAAAACCCATATCCATAAAGTCATAATTCTAAAAGAACGGCTACTTATATGGTCTCTTGATTCTGAAATCTTTTGTGTGTAGTGGTATGTGCATTGCTGTATAAGGGTGGGTATGTGTGCACATACATGTGTGCTCTTGTGTGTGTGATGCATGTCACAGCACATACATGTGGAGGTCAGAGGACAACTTTCAAGAGTCTTCCACAGTGGGTTCTGGAGACTGAACACACCTATTCAAATTTAGTGATTGAACTAGCTAGCTCATCAGCCCCCACTTTATTTTCAGAGATAAAAGTTTCTCAGGGAGACCTGTCACTCACCGAGGGATCAGCCTGGTCCTGCTTTCCCAGGACAGGGTGACAAGAGCTTGTCACCGTGCCCATCTTTTTACCTGGGTACTGGGTGTCAAACTCTCATCCGATCCCTGAAGCTCATGAAGCTTGTGTGGCAGGCAGG